TGCCCAAGGTTGAGAAACTGTTGTAGAAACCCTCTTTGGCCTCCTCCAGACACTCTCCATGATCCTGCTCATGTCTTGCCCAACGAGCACCAGTGGGCACAATCATCCTGTTTTACGCTCCGGGCTCTCAGCAGATGGAACAGCGTCTACCCAACTGGCACAGCAGAGCTGTAGGGCCAACCACAAGCTAATGGGGTTTTTGTCTTTGAGGCCATCCATGGTAGCCATTTGGGGACACACCCCCCACTCCCTTTCCAGGCATTTGGGCTTCTCTCCTTAATGGATTTGGGGTGCTACCCACCATTTTGAAGGGATGCTAAATCAAGTTACCAGCTAACAGCCTCCCCTCCCCTCCCCTCCCCAAACGGTCACTTCTAGGGCATCTCCAGTATTACACCAAGAGGATTCCTTTGCACAAAAAGGGATGATAAGAGTTTCCTCTCTGTCTCTTTTTCTGTGTATTTTAGTGGTCTTAAAGAGGAGGATGGCTGTGCTCCATCCACCGCATTTATTTTTGAGGCGTCCTCATTCTAGGAGAATTCTTCCCCCTTGCAGAAAGGAATAGGGCTGGCATCTAAAGATCTGCAGGATGCGTGTCTTCGTATAACCACAGTGGCTCCGCATCAGCCCTTCCTGCCTTATATAGTAGATGGATCTAGTTCCCAATATTGTGATGTTGGCCTTGAGATAGAACAACATCTCAAGTGTTGTTCTTCAATTATTCAGCCATACGTTGGGTTTGACTTCAGTAGCACAGCTGTACCAATAGAAGCGAATATGTGTAGCGCAGGGTTGAACCGTGGAGTCCTCGGGGTTCTCTGGGCTGGCTTCTTCTCTTGCAAATGTTTCGTTACCCGGCTAGGTAACATCTTCAGTGCTAGAATGGGATGGGGTTTGCGCTCCCCATTCTGTTAACCTCAAACCCAAACGCCTCTCTTGACCCCAACATGGGTGCACCTTTGTCCCATTTCGCATCGGGTCCCCCTTTTGTAGAGGATGGCGGGAGATGGAAACTTCACTTGACCCGCTGTAGCCACTTCAGGAGAGCTTCTTCAACCTCGAGTTCTTCAGACGTCTTGTCATGTGAGCAGCAAATTCTGGTTTGCTGTCGCAGGACATCTCAGAGATGTCAGTTTGGGGACGTCTTTCAGAACGGCTGTTAAAAATTCCGTAATGGAATCCTCCAAATGTCATGAAGAATTCGGCTGCAGATGAAGGCTAGTGTTCATCAAGAGGCAGCAATAGGACCTTGTCATCGCCTGAGGGTGTTTTGGTGCCTGAGCTAAGCCCCCGAGTTTTACATTGAAGGTGGTTTGATGATTCTGTGCCATCAAATTAGTGGCCACACAGATGGATTGTGGCCACACAGGACCAGGAGGATCTGTCCCCAACCTGGTCCTTCAGGTTCCCCAACGATGCACCCATTGTTGTCTCGGTCCCTCTTTTCCGCAAAGACAAGGGAGCTGGAAGTTTTGAGTGCATGTGCAAACTCAGCGAGTGGTGCAAAGAACACCCACGGATGGGGCGGGCTGAGAGGCGCACGCTGCCTTTTCTGCCTGACCCGCATTATTCTGGCCAAGCGCTCGTGGGCAGCCACTTCCTGGCTCTGTCCTGGAGCCATAAAGCTGGCCTGACAGTAATGTGTCTCCATTAAGCTAAGCTATCTAATGATAATAAAATGGCACATTTAACTTTAAAACATTTGGCTTGACTCTGTGAAGTGTGCTGTGTGGGTGGAGGCCTCATCTTTTTCCTCCCCCCCCCTTTCTCTTTAATGAAGCTGAATGTGAAATGACTCCTCTAGAGTTTATTGCACTCTGAAGTTTGAGGAGCGGGAAGGTGAGAATCGACTCCGAGGCTCAGGGGGGAGTCCAGACTCTTGGGGGGCTTCCAGATAGGTGGCCATTAATGCACCAATCAGTTGTGCAATTATTCCACCATTCTCCCTCCTTAAATGTTCTGTTGCAGGAAAAAGGAAAATAGGAACGAGTGGGGGGCGCGTTGTAAAGATCTGGGCACAAAGTTCTGTGAATGAAGCCCTTGCAGAATAGACCTTTCACCTTGTAGGGTTAAAAATTAATTTATTCTGGGAATAAACTCTGGCTGGCTTGCTTCTTCATCCGAGCAGTTCACGGGGGACCCTTGAGAGGTCATCTAGTGACGCCACTGGCCTGGCCCAGTCATTTCCTTGGAGACGTTTTACAGAGGTGGTTTGACCTTCCCTTCTTCTGGACGTGTTCTGCTTTTGTCTAGTCACAGCTCTGAGATTTCCCCATGGTCTCCCATCCAAGTCCTAACCCAGTTTGATCCTGCTTAGTTTTTCCAAGATCAACCAAGGTTGGTTGTAGAGCCCAGTTTAAGGGCCTGCAGCCTCCCTTATTCCAGGGCAGGGGGGTGCCCACATCTGCACGGCAGATAAGAAGAGACTCGCTGAGTGTGTCGGGTTCAGTCCAATCACTCCAACCATGGGCCACACTAGAAATCGGAGTCCAAGGATGTGTGTGTGTGTGACACAGATCTCCACACGCCTACCCTTAGTGTTTTCCCCTTCTGCATGGCTTCTGTGGGCTGATCTGGATTTAACTCAATAAATAATTCTATCCATTAAAAAAAAAAAAAGTTGTTACAGGATTTTCTTACAGCTGTGCGCTGCTCTTCCTTTAAATATTGCTGCTGCTTCATTGAGGAAATGAAAGAGTAATAACTGGATGTTGCCAGGAAGACGTGGTCGTACACAGAGGTGTTAAAAACACTGAGCAAGTTTCACACCTCTTTCAAAAACAAAGAGCGCGCCCGCACAATTTAAAATGTTGTGTCTGCCCCATATGGAGTTCTGCGTCATCAGAGCAAAGCCGGCACCAGCACTTCAGGCGCCTCCCAGCAGCCCTTCAACAGGGCCACGAGGCGGCTGCCTCCCCGATGCTTGAGGGGGCGCTTGAGGGCCCCGCCATGGCCCGTTCATGTCTGTCTGGTGTCCTGCTCAGCCAGTTTGCTGAGCACCCTCTCTACGAGAGAAGAGAATCTCTGCAGCTCAGGGCTGAACTGTGGCACCCTTGGTGCTTTCTGAGCTCGGCGGTTTGATTGCAGACGTTTCATGACCCGACTAGGGAACATCATCAGTGCTGGTGGGTCTGGGGTCTGCTCCCTGTTTATATGCTATTCTTTCTACAGTACTCTAATCAAGGAACCACCAAGGAGACAAACAATCAAGCAGAAAACAATACCCTAATCAAGGCACTACCAAGGAGAAAACCACACCCCCCACCAACACTGGCAGGGCAAGGCACTGTATATAAACAGGGAGCAAACCCCACTCCCTTCTAGCACTGATGATGTTCCCTAGTTGGGTAATGAAACGTCTGCAAGCAAACCGCCAAGCTCAGGGAGCACCAAGGACTTCACTCTCACTACATTTCCCCTTATCCCAGTGGAACACTGTCTCTAAACACGGGGCCGCCATTTAGCCGGCTCCCCCTGAACTGCGGAGGGTGCTCAGCCCCACAAAGGCAATGATGGCGCTTACAGGAAAATGGCTTCTCGCAGAAAGGATCCAAAGAGGCTGTCCCGCATTTTCTTCCTTAAGAGGCTTAAAAGAGAAAACGGTTGCAAAGACGCTGGAGATTGATAAACGGGAAAAGGAGACCACCTGGACGTCTGCAGAAATCTGCCAGTTATGGTATCATAAAAGCCTCCCCTGGAAGTGCCCACAGGGAGAGTCCCAACTGCAGGAAGCTTCTTCAGATGTCCCTGAAGCCTTCCTGCCCTGGTGTCTCAACTAAGGTCACAGCACCCTCTCCAAGAGCCAGGGGTGCAAAAGCACTTCACCTCCTTTTAAGCGATTGATTCTTCTCAGGGTTGGAGCTGATGGACAGGTAAAGCAGCAGGCCTGTTTAGCAGATACCTTTAATAGGAAGCGCACCTGTGTGGGACCCTCTCCTGGCACAGCACTCTTGGGCAGGGCTTTTCACTTCCTCAACCGCAAGGGAGCCCTTCCCTGGGGGCCAGCAGAAGCTCTTCCCTCTCCTGGCAGCTGTCAGGATCTTTGCAGCCTGGACGTGCAGAGCTCAAGCCATGGATCCAGTTCAGGTGGACTGTCGTGGAGGTGCCCTGGGGAAGGTTTGGCCCCTCCTCGGCTCTGCCAGAGGGAGTTCACAAGCTAGCTTTAAGTGGGGCCTGGAAGCGGCTCAGCCGAAATGGGGCGAGATTGTAAGCAGGCGCCTCCCCCAGACTCAGTTCGCACAGGATCTTTCCCACAACCGGTGCAAACTTGAACCCGTGGCCTGTGGAAGAGACAGAAGGGAAAAACAGATGCTTGTTTGTTTGTTTGTTTATTTATTTATTTATGCAATTTATATGGCTGCCGGATAATCCCCCTTTGCCTCTGCTTCCTCCTCCTCTTCCTCCTCTACATTTTATTGTTATTTGGCTTGTAGACTTTGAACTTTTTAACCTTATTTACTTAAGTACACCAGTGTGCCAGCTGCAGCCTGCCTGGGGCGGAAGGACGTCGCTAAGAGACTTGTCCCCGCGTCACCCCGTTTAGACTACTGCAGCACGCGCTACGTGGGGCCGCCTTTGAAGACCGCTCTGAAGCTGTGGGGGTTCAAGCTCAGAGGTTCACGTGCCGGCCGGTGCTTGCCAGTGGAAGCACATTACGCCAGCGCTGCGGGCCCTGCAGTGGTTGCCAACAGACTCCTGGGTGCCACGGAAAGCGCTGGTGCTGCCCTGTAAAGCGCCAGGGCATCTGCAGGGCTGCCTTCTCCCCTGGCATCGGCCTGGGCAGCTTGAGCGACTTGGGAGAAGGTGCTAGCGGGAGGGAGGTGGGGGGCTGCGGCCCGGAGGCTCTGCGCCTCGGTGGGCCTCGGGAACGGCCCCAGCGGACCCCCGGTTGGCCCCACACACACACCCCTGCCTCCCGAAGCAACGGAGCTCTCCCCGAGGAGGTTTTGGCTGTGGGGTGAGCTTGGTTAGGTTTACAGACTGACTTCTCTTCTGGTTGTATGCTGTTGCTTTCTGTTTTTATCCTTCTTCGGATTGCGGGTGCGTTTCTGAATTTTTGGCGTGTGCTTTTGCCTTTGTGAGCTGCCAAGAGTCCTTTGCTGCGGGGTTTGTGGGATCAATCAAGTAGGGTATATACCGTAAGAGGTTAGTTTGGATCAGAAAAGCAACAGGGATGTCTGCAGGGGGGCAAAAGAGTCAAGATGGTGCCCGTGCAATTGAACCTCCACCCCTTTTCTTACGGGCATCACACGTGCAATACCTGTAAAAAGGGGCATGGCCTCCATAGGGTGGGCACCATCTTGACTTTTTGGATTCCCCCATGGACACTCCTTCCTATACATATAAGTGGATGGACAGAGAGAAGGAAACGGGTTAAAGATAAAGGTTGCCTCCCGGGGACTTGGTTACACGCCCACGACCACTGATGCGGCCGGAAGAGGTTTGCCACTGTTTCTAAGCCCTTTGTGACTTGTGGTCCCCCTTCCAAGCAGCCCCACTTGGCCTTCCTTGAGCTCAGCCCGGTCAAGTCAGCGCGAGGCTGCAACGGCTTGGCGTGACGGCCGTCAGGAGCCTGACCGGAAAAGGGGCTGCCTTCCTGTCTGCAGCGGGGCTGTAACCGTGGTGCACCCCACGTTTGGAAGTTGCCAAGGATGCGCCCCCGAAGGAGAAGGCCGGATCTGCTGCCCTCTTTCCTGCCTATCTCTGGAGGCTTTCGGCTGGAAAACTCCTACCAAAATAGAGGAATCCGGCAAGCGAGAGGTTGCACACATCTATTACCCTTCCTTTTCTGTTGAAAACTGATTGTGCTGATGCTTTTCAGGGACCCCAAATTGGGGGGCCTCTGGGGAGCACAGAAATATTTCTGGGGGCCACCCGTGGCCGCCAGTTCGCTCTTCGCTGCTGCAAGGCGTTACGCGAAGGTGAACCACTCGTGTGGACTCACACGAACACTGGAGCTGGGTCAGATCCACAAGCCCCTCTCCCTGCAGGGGCCCAGCACCATCACCAGGAGAAGGAGAAGGCGGCTGCCTTTTTTTTCTAGGTTCCCAGCAAGCTCTTGCAAAGGGATAGACTGTGCTTGAACTTGGAGGGTTTCATGAAGAATAGCTCCTGAAGGCAGGCCCAGCCGCAGGACAGATCGATCCCCTTTGAGTTAGATACAACCCTTCCCCTCTTCTCCTGCCATCCCGCCCCACGACCCCGTTTACCTGAAAACCCGGCTCCAATTACAATGTTCTCAAAATGTGGGTGCCGATCCAATATGAAGTCCCCGTCTGGGGTATTCTGAAGGGGCGATAAGAAGCAGGGGAGAAAGTGTCAGAGAAAACCCACGTCCAGACCTTTTGGGAGCTGGTAGTCGGCTTCCCGGTGGCTGGGACGCCACGGGGCACCAGCTGGAAAAAAGCCATCACGTTCATCGGGGGGACCTTCTCCCCTTATTCTTGCCCAAGAGAATAGAAGCCTTGCCTTGCTTCTATAATGATATACTTTACTATATAAATTATATATATTTATCTACACACAGCCTACCAGGGAGTTCTGAAGGGTTTGGTACTTTGGACGATCAGACCCTTCCCAAGGATTTTGGCTAGCTGAAGACACCGGCGTATGATGTGCTCCGTTCCAAGCAAGGCCAGTTTTCGCCCTTCCTGAGTTGAGATGCTGTCCGTTCCTGCTGGGCCCAAATGCTTCTCCAGATTTTTTGGGATGGCACCAAATGCCGTTATTGGTACCCTCAGGACTTTCCTTTCCCACCTGCGCTCAGTCTCTGCTTGAAGGGCTTCAGATTTCCCCACGTTTTCTAGTTCTCTCTCACTGACCCTTTTATCTCCCGCTCCTGCAAGGTGAATTCTCTCTTTTTCTGGCAACTACCGTTGAGTCTGGCTTATTACGGGCTAAAAGTTGATCCGTATGGGAAGTTCCACACCATTTCCACATTTTTGGTCTTGGCCGTTTTTCAATATTTGATCCCACCGGTTTTCTGTTGCTGGCAGCTTGGAATGCTTACTAAGACTCCGGGGGATGAAGGTGGACGCTTGGTGGCGTCTCTGCAAATATTCCCTCGGTGCAACCTCTTTGCCCCCACGTCCCAGGGCTCGACACCCTCCTCCTGCTCTTTGCCCAGCCAGCGTTGACCAGCATGCTGAGTTTCCCAATTTTAGCTTTCTTTCCATTTGTAGGTAGTGACTGATCCAAGGAATGCAACTTTCTGCCATGGATGAGTT